TACCGTTAATATTCGATTTAAATATTTATCCTTGATATTTACTACACATAATTAATCCTTTGCGATTTAAATTTAAATCATATTTTGAAAAATGTAATACAATAAGATATGCAACAGAATAATCCTCCTATAAATTCTGTAACAAAGAACAATTACAAAAACTTCTGTTCCTCTTGAGTCTAGATCACTGAATGAGACTGCATGTAAACTGATATTCCAATATCCCTTCTCTACCACACTTTCGCTGTTATACTTATGCAACGATTGAATAATTGAACTCGAACATTTGAGTTCCTCAGTATTTTGAACGTTTGGAAAAATATTGTGCCGTAAATCGTTTTTAAAACTTTTATAACGACGAAATAGAACAGAGGCAACTATTTGAATTTAATAATGCGATGCTTAAGATACTAACTGAATAAATGTAATAAAAGTTATTCTTTTTGTGTTAGATAATATAAAAGTTAGATAATATAAAGGAATATTTTCCATCTTCTTACGTAATAGGATATAATGTACATATTATAACGTCATTTTTGCGAATAGATTATCTCAATTATCTTCATCACGTTTAATTATGTAATTACATAATAGATTCATGCTAAACCGGTTCCGTCAATATTACGTAAATATTCTTGAAGCTTCCACGGATGTTTTCTATATAAAGATTATGCGTTTCATGGATTTTCTCCATGTCCAGATCCATTTTTGGAATGCCAACGTTTAGTGAATCTTACAGTCCACTTCATCAAAACTTCCGCAAAACGTATAATCTTTAATATTGCGTAAATATTTTGTTTTTCCTTCTCTTGCATTATTCGCATTCACAATTCGTGTATTATGGATAGTAATTAATTTGTCAATGTATGATGATAATATATGGTATTCTGATTATAAAAATGCTCGTTGCATTTGTTTTTTGAGAGAAACTATTGATTACACCATCGTATCGCTTTCGCTTTCTTTTTTTCTCGCTTTTTTTGAAGGTACGTTAACATCAGTCTCTTTTGATAAGTTCGTTTCATTAGTATACATATTCATATGTATATTTATAAATATGTATTATATATGTAATTATATATAAATATGTATTACGTATGTATATATATATATATATACATATATAT